AAGATTCTTGTTAGATGTCTGCATAGTCTTGGTGGATCAACAGCAGCGGCAGCAGCAAGAAGGGAAGCAGTAGCAGCAGTTTGCTGCTGTATTGCTGCTTGCTGCAGCAGCTGTGGCAGCAATGCATGCGGTTGCTCACGTAGCAGCAACTCTAATCCTTGTAGTTGTGCTGCTCTTCCTGCTGCTGCTGCTGCTGCTGCATCCTCTCTTGTTAGTAATTGTGTAGACAGAAGCTGCTGCAGCAACGGGGGTATTAATTTACTAGTTGCTTCCTGTCCTAATGAATCAAGACATACAGCAGCAGCAGCAGCAGCAGCTTGCTGCACCGATGCATCTGTGTCTTGTAGTGCCCGCCGCAGCAGCAGCAGCAAACTATCCATCTCTGCAGCAACTGCAGCACGAGATCCGCTCTTAAATATCTCTAATAAACCTAAGCATACACCCCGTCGTGTAGATACATCTGCAGCACGAAGAGCCTGCAGCAGCAGCAGCAGCAGCAGCAGCAGCAGCAACAGCAGCAGCACACAGCAGCAGCAAAGGGAGGGAGTAATGCATCCTGTCTTTTATTTAAATCGCATATATGTAGACAGAAGGCATAAGCAGCAGCAGCAGCAGCAGCAGCAGCAGCAGCAACAGCAGCAACAACAGCAGCAACACCAATCAACTGCAGCAGCAACAATAACAGAAACAAAAACAATCAATAACAACAATAAACAGCAGCAGCAGCAGCAGCAGCAGCAGCAGACCTGTTGTAGATGAGGAAGGAGCTGAGGGAGGACCTGCTCCCCCATCTTCTGCGTAAGTGCACCAATACATCTTGCTGCTGCAGTTTGCTTCTGCTGCACTTGCTGCAGTGCAGCAGCAGCAGCAGCAGCAGCAGCCCCCCCACCACCGCCAGATTCTGCAGCAGCTGCAGCAGCAGCAGCAGCTGCTGCTGCAGCAGGTGCAGCAGCAGCAGCTAAATTAGATATAATTTTTTTAGTTAATATAGGTAATATTTCCTTTAATGTCTTGGGTGTATTACCAACAACTTTCTTCCATGCTGCTGCTGCTGCTGCACGTACACCCGGATTTATATCATTACGTATAATAAATAAGGAAGAAAGTATAAAGTTTCTTCTTTCTATAGATAATATATCTGTATGTAGACTATCTTCTGCTGCTGCTGCTGCACCTGCTGCTGTTGCTGCTGCTGATCCTCCTTCTCCTCCTCCTCCTGTTGTATCATCATCTACACCATGCAGCAGCCGCTGCAGCAGGAGACCCAGCAGCTGCGTGCTGCTGCATCTAATCCTCCAATCAGCAGCATATAGTCCGTCCTCTAGGGGGCGCAGCAGCAATGCAGTATGTGTAGCAGCAAAGAGGTGTACAGACACCTCAGCAGCACGAAGAGATACTTCTCTTATACTTTCTTCCTCTGCTGCTAATCCTCTGAGTACTACGGGCATAACAAGAGGAACAAAAGGATTAAATTCCTTATTAAATGCTATAGGTAAATAAACAAATAAACCTAAGAAACCTTCTCTCCTTCCTGCTGCTGCTGCTGCTGCTGCTGATGATGATGATACTGATGATCCTGCAGCAGCAGCAGAAGCAGCAGCAGCAGATACAGGGTCCTCGTCTGCTTGCTGCAGCAATTGGGGAAGCAGCTGCTGCAGACGTTGGGGGCCCCATGCTAATAATAATTCAGATAATGCATTTGCTGCTCCGCTGCGGCTCACGCTGCTGCTGCTGCTGCTGAGGGTCTGCAGCAGCCACTGCAGCAAACCAGCTAATTCTGCTTCCTCTACCCCTCTAGCTACAGCACCGCATGCACGTGCTGCTGCTGCACGTACAGCTGGGATCGGATCCCCAAGGGCTTGCTGCAGAGATGGCAACAATTGGGGTAAATAAGGTAATAATGGTTGAGACCGCTGCTGCTGCTGCTGCTGCTGCTGCTGCTGCTGCTGCTGGCATAGGACACCTAGGGAACCAATTATGTCTGCTGCCTTACGCTTAACCTCGCTGCTGCGCTCCGCCATTCCCCTAACAAGAAGAGGAATAAATAAGGATAGGGCAGCAGCATCAGCAGCAAAGTTGCTGCTGCTGCTGCTGCAGTCTATAGATAATATTGTATCTAGTGCAGCAGCAATGTTGCTGCTGGATGGATCTGCTAATGCAGGGACAACAACATGCATGCATATCTGCTGCAGCTCAGGTGTATATACAGCTCCTGCTATAGACTGCAGCGCAGCAACAGCAGCACGCTGCACCTTAGGTAAGGATGCATTACTTGCTGCATCTGTTAATAAGGGTACGAGTGCATGCACAGCAGCAGCAGCAGCAGCAAGCTGTTTAGGGGAAGCAGCAGCAAATGCAGATATAAGCTCAATACTACCAATCTTAGCTGACCAATGGTCATCTTGCTGCTGCTGCTGCTGCTGCAGTTGCTCTGTTATAGTAGGAAGCACAAGACGTACACCGTGGCTGCTGAGGTGTCTCATGATCTGCTGCGCTGCAGCACGTGCTGCAGCAGCAACAGGTTTATTATTATCAGCAAGACACTGCAGCAGCAGCCGCAGCAGCAGCAGGGCATAGGGCTCAAATAGTCTACCTAGGCAGCAGCTAAGTGCCTCTATACACAGCAGCGCTCCTTGCTGCTGCAGCAAATCCTTACGATTAGATAATGCTTGCTGCAGCTGCTGCAGCAGCAACTCCCTTCTTATACTTATTACCCCTAATCCTTTTACTGCTGCTGCTACCCCTAGTGCTGCTCCCTTGCGTACTGGTAAATCTGCTGCTGTTAATGCAGCACGTAAGAAACGTTTTAGTAGCTGCTGTGCTGCTGTACCTTCCTCCTCCTGCTGCTGTTGCTGCTGCTGCTGCTGTTCATCCTGCTGCTGCTGCTGCTGCTGTTGTTGTTCATTCTGCTGTTCAGACCCCTCTTTTGATGCAGCAGCAGCATCTGCTGCTGCTGTTGCTGCTGTTGCTGCTGTTGCTGCTGTTGGTGGTTTATTTTGTTGTGGTGGATCTGCAGCAGCAAGTAACTTAATAAGAGGAGTAATAGGTCTAGCTAGCAGCATTTGTACCTCAGGGGAGGGAGCAGCAGCAGCAGGAGACAGGAGGGATACCTCTAGCTTAGATACAATTAAGGGGATTAATGTGTCTCCTTTAGACATTTTATCTGCTAAGGATCCACAGAATAATGCCTTAGCTATTTCTATTGCTGCTGCTGCATTTGCTGCACCTCCTGCTGCTGCTGCATCTGCTGCTGCTGCTGCTGCTGATGTATCTGGTCCTACTATATCTTCACCAACAATATTCTTTGATTTATTACTGCTGCTCTTCTTGCTGCTCTTGCTGCTGCTCTTGCTGCTGCTGCTGATGCTGCTGCTACTGCTGCTGCTGCTGCTGCTGCTGCTGCTGCTGCTGCTGGTTGTGGTGGTAGGGGGTTTCTCTGGTTTATAGCTGTCTATACACTCCAATATTTCCCTACGTAAGGAATCCCCCTCTGCATTACGTATAGCAGCAACACCAGCAGCAAGCAGCAGCTGCTGCAGCGGGGGAGCAGCAAGAGAATCAGGACAAGGTATACCTTTACCTAATAAGAAGTGCAGCAGCAGCAGCAAAGAAGAAGATGTCTGCAGCAGCTGATGCTCTGCGCACCGGCAAAGAGCAGCAGCAACACCTAATAGCATGCATCTATGCTCGGGGCTTGAGTTAGACTGCAGCAGCACAAGTGGTTGCTGCTGCTGCTGCTGCTCTTGCTGCTGATCATTAGATCCATCATCATCCTTTGCTGCTGCTGCTGCTGCTGCTGCTCCTTTCCCCTTCATCTTACCCTTAACAGCACCACCAAAGAAATTTGCTGCATCTAGTTCCTTCTTCTTATATACTATACCCTCTTGCTGCTGCTGCTGCTGCTGCTGCTGCTGCTGCTCCTTCGGTGCTGCATAAGGGCCCTCTAATACACGATCCCCAGTAAATAGATCTATTAACATCTGTATTGCTGCTACTGTCTCCTTTTCTCCTTTGCTGCCTCTCTCCACCTCTGCAGCAAATGCTTCTGCTGCCTGCAGCAGCAACAGCAGCAACAGCAGCAGCAGCAACAAACACAACGATAACAGACAGCTCGCTTTATGACTGCGCAGCAGCAGCAGCAGAAGATATAAACTCGTGCTGCAGCAGCAGAAGCAGCAAAACGCATCATCAGCAGCTGCAACAAGGGCAAGACACAGCAGCAGCAGCAGCAGCAGCAGCAGCAGCGGATGTGCTTACCATATCTCTATAGGTAGCCTCAGGGCATGCAAGTAGCTGCGTGAGTGTCTCTAGCCGCTGCTGCATGTTTCCTTGTATTTGCTGCGGCAGCTGCTGCAGCAGCTCAGCAGCAAAGACAGGGACCTGAGGGTCTGCCTTGTCTTGCTGCAGCACGAGGAGGGAGGCAACAAGCATTGGTGCTGCTGCTGATTGCATGCGGTCTATAGGCAGGTGCTGCAGCGCAGCAGCAACAGCCTTGCGGGTTGTTGCTGTGTCCGAAGCAGCAAGCTGCAGCAGCTGCGGCAGCTGCTGCTGCTGCAGCAGCTGAGCAGCAGCAAGACACAGAGCCTCCTGTGCAGCAGCAGCAAACTGCGGATGTGCCCGCAGCACAGCAGCAAGACACGACATAACAGCATCTGGATCTAGCTGCACCTTTAGCTTTAGCTGCTGCAGCAGCAGCAGCAGACCCTGCTTGCATGCAGCTGCTGCTGCTGCATCTGCCTGCAGCAGCACTGCAGACACAAGAGGCAGCACTAATTGGCTACCAGCAAGAGACAGTGCCTTATTTGCTCTCCCTGAGGACAGGACTGCAGCAGCAGCAGCAGCAACCTCCTGCTGCTGCTGCTGCTGCACCAGCAGCAAAGCATCTGCTAGTGCTGCTCTCCTAGGCAGCACGTCAGCAGACACAGCAGCAACAATTAGCTGACGCAGACACCGCAGCGCGCTGCTGCAGGTTATGCTGCAGCGCAGCATTTGCTGCAATGTAGGCAGCAGCACAACAGGTGAACCCTCTCCTGCTGCTGCTGTTGCTGCTGCTGCTCCTGCAGGAGCAGCAGCAGCAGCAGCAGCAGCAGGAGACAGCAGCACCTCTGCACACTCCTCTCCAACCCCACTGACTAGACATCCCAACTGCAGCAAGATTCTGCTGCAGCGCCGCTGCATCTGCTGCAGTTGCTGCCGCTTCTGCTGCTGCTGCTTCAGCTCCTCCTGCTGCAGCTGCTCCCTAGTAAGACTTTTCTGTCCTTTTGCTGCTGCTCCTCCTGCTGCTCCTCCTGGCTTCCCCCGACCTGCAGCAGGCTTGCTAGTCTTGCTGCTGATGCTGCTCATGCTGGGGCGTATAGGAGGAGGAGCAGCAGCAGCAGGTGCAGATGTAGTTGCTGCTGCTGCAGGTACATACACCCCACCAGGTACATAAAGAACATCATTAGGGGCATAAAACATTGCTGCTGTCTCCTGTTTGCATGCAGCAACTTCTGCTGCTGGTAGCTGCTGCACTAAGCTGCAGCAGCAGCTGATGCTGCTGCTGCTGAGACCTGCAAGGCTGCTGCGCCATTTGCTGCAGCAGAAGCGGCCTCCCTTCTTAGGTTCTTGTACTATTAGTTGGTCTAGCTGCTCTTGCTGCTGCTGCTGCTGGTGCTGCAGGTGTTGCTGCTGCTGCTGCTGCTCTTGCAGCAAACGGCCAGCAGCAACAGCAACAGAATCGCATGCATGCTCGATGCCGCTGCAGTCGCTGCTGTCTTTGCTGCTCTCTGGTGTCACTGACACAGGCAGCAGCTGCAGCAGCTGCTGCCAGTCCACTAGGCTGCTGCTGCTGCTGCTGCTGCTGCGCCTGGATAGCAGCAGCAAAACAGATCTAAACAGAGGGACAGGGCTGCTGTCTTGTTGTCTTGCTGCTGGATGCGCAGCACACAGCAGCAGCAGCGCATTTAACCCAGGTCGTGCTGCATGCAGCTCGCTGCTGCTGCTGCTGCTGCTGCGACGTACAGCGGGTAGCAGCAGCCGCAATAGCTGCTGCAGCAAAGACTGCAACATGTTGCAGGTTATCCTTGCTGCTGACTCATCTCGTCCTGCTGCTGCTGCTGTTGCTGCTGCTGTTAATGGTGACATTGGAGACGTGGGTGTCTTGGCCTTGGTGTTGCTGCTGCTGCTGCTACTGCTACTGCTGCTACCGCTGCTGCTGCTCTTGCTGCTGCTCTTCTCTGCTGCTTGCGCAGCAGAGACCTCACACAGCAGCTGGAAGAAGGCAAGGACAAGCTGTGCAGCAACTGCTGCATCGGCTGCTGCTGCTTGCTGCAGCAGCAGCAAACTTGACGTATAGCTTCCCTTAACCATTTTGCTTCCGTGCTGCCCTGCTGCTGCTGCAGTCCCCTCCTCTGCTGCTGCTGCTGCAGGAGACACATGGAACTGCTGCAGGTGGCAAAGAACGCGCATTAACCCAATATAAAATGCTGGCTGCAGACCCTTATGCTGCTGCTGCTGCTGCTGCTGCTGCTGCTTCTGCGGTGCAGCAGCAGCAGCAACAGCGCCTGCAGTATTGTAAGCAGCAGAGCAGAGTTCTTGATCTTTGCTGCAGCAAGGAGACGTGGTGGTTAGCTGCTTGCCACCAAGAGGCTGCTGCTGCCTCTGCAGCAGCTGCGCATACACTCGAAGCTGCAGCAGCAACTCCTCCCGTGTTTGCTGCAGCACAAAGGAGACACACAAAGACACCTAAACGCTGCTGCCGTTGCTGCTGCTGCTGCACCTGCTGCTGCTGCTGCTGCTGTAGAAGTCCTCACCTTTGATTTAACTACAGAGAAGCAAGAAGAAGGATCTACCCAAAGTGCTGCAGCAGCAGCAACGGCGGGACTATGAGCAGCATCGAGCTGCTGCTTTGCTGCTGCTCCTGTTGCTGCTCCTGCTGCTGCATCCGCGGAGAGTTGCTCTAGCAGCAAGAAGAGAGACCAGGCCCTCAAGGAAGCAGCACGGAGAGCAGGTCTTGTGGTGCATGCACTGAGCAGCGGCAACAGCTGCTGCTGCAGTTGCTGCAGTCTTTGTACCATATCTGCTGCTGCAGGTCCTGCTGCAGCAGCTGCTGCTGTTGCTGCAGCAGCAGCAATACTCTCTAGTGCATCTTCTGCTGCTGCCAGCAGCTGCTGCTGCTCCGCAGACACAGCCCCCTTCTTATTAGCAGCATCGCAGTACCCCTCTAGCAGCTTTAGCTGCTGCTGCAGCAGGTGCTGCAGCTCCTTCTGCTGCTCGGGCGTGCTGCTGCTGCTGCTGCGCCGCAGCAGCAGCGGCAGCACCTTCCCCACAAAGGCGCAGCAGGTAGCCTTAACATCATCATCTATACCTGTTGTTAGCAGCGCATGCACCTTGCTGCTGCTGCTCAGCTGCTGCTGCAGCTGCTGCAGCTCTTCTGTAGACACCGTAGACTCTTGGTGCAGGGAGGGAGTGCATGCAGTAGCTGCCTGTACAGCAGCAACAGCAGCAGCAGCAAAAGAGGCACCAATATGCTCACAATTGATAAGACCAACAGCAGCAAACATTCACATAGCTGACCCCAGCAGCAGCAGCAGCAACAACAACAGTAGCAATAACAGCAGCAACAGCAGCAGCAACAGCGCGTTACCTGCAGCAGCGCAATGGTATCCAGTGTCTTGAGTCCTGCTGCATTAAGTTGCTGCAGCAGCAGCTGCTGCACCTTAATTGGTGCTGCTGCTGTACGGCAGTTTGCTGCTGCATGCCCTATAATGCTAGCAGCAAGAGCAGCACGACCACGAGCAGAAGCAGCAAGTGCTGCTGCTGTCTTGAGTGTAGGCAGCAACCCCTCAGCAAGCAGCAGCAGACACCTATAAACGCATGCAGCAACAGCAGCAGCAGCAACAGCAGCAGCAAAGGAGGCTTAAAAGAGGGACAAATCAAGGCCAAATCCATCTGCAGCAAACAGCAGCAGCAACAGCAGCAGCAGCAACAGCAGCAGCAGCAACAGCAACAGCAGCAGCATACTTGGAGCAATCAGCCTTGGAGTGTCTAAGCAGCAGCAGCAGCGGAGGCCCTGCAGCATCAATAGATCTAGCGAATCCTTTTGTTGCAGCAGGAGCAGCAAATGTATCAATGTCTTCCTGCTGCAGCAGCAGCAGCAAAGGATAAAAAGATGCATGCAAAGACACCCCGCATGCATGACGACCATCCAACAGCTGCAGCACAAACAACACAACAGAACAAAGGAGACACCTGCTGCTGCTGCTGCTGCTGTTGCTGTTGCTGCTGCTGCTGTTGCGGCTGCGGCTGCTGCTGCTGCTGCTGTTGCTGCTGCTACTGTTGCTGCTGCTGCTGCTGTTGCTGCTGCTGTTGCTGCTGCTGCGGCTGCTGCTACTGTTGCTGCTGCTGCTGCAGTTACCTGGAGGAAGACTTGTAGGAGTTTATCCTTGACCTCCAATGCCTCACGTTTTAGTGCTGCTGCTGTTGCTGCTGCTGCTGCTTTTGCTGCTGCTGCTGCTGCTGCAGCAGGAGTTCGTCTTGCATTTGTATGAAGCAGAACATCACATGCCCATCGAGACAGCAGAAAGGAGCAAATGCTGCTGCTCTTGCTGCTGCCGCTGCTGCTGCTGCTGCTGCTGCTGCTGCTGATGGTGTTCTCTACTACCTGCAGTGCATGCGCTCGTGCCTTTGCTGATTGCTGCAGCAGCTGCTGCAGCAAACGGACCCATGGCAGTCTTGCTGCTTTACGCTGCAACAGCTGCTCTACTTGTGCCTGCAGCAGCTCATGCTGCTGCTGCTGCTGCTGCTGCTGCTGCTGTTGCTGCTGCTGCTCTTGCTGCTGCTGGTGGCGCTGCTGGTGCTCAACAGCAGCAGCAAACAGCTCCCCAAAGACACGCTCCATCTGCAGCAGCACGCCTCCTATACTTTTGCTGCAGCAGTCTGCTGCTGCTGCTGCAGCAAGTGCAGCAGGAGGCAGCTGCAGCAGCACAGCAAAGAAGCTGCTGCCTACTGCTGCTGCTGCTGCGCTGCGGCTAAGGCCTTTGAGTGTCTCCAGCAGCAACGAGCAGAAGCGCTGCAGCAATGGTAGCTGCTGCTGCTGCACCTCTTTACCTTGAGCTGCTGCAGCTGCTGCTGCTGCTTCGCATGCAAGAGCCTTTGCTGCTGCAGACTGAAGGGAGGAGAAGCAGCAGCGCCAGCTGCTGCTCCATCTCTTGCTATTGCTGCATGCAGCAGCAGACAGCAGCACATTGCTGCAGAGAGCAGAGAACTCATCAATAGTAAGAATAGGATCCTCGCTGCTGCTGCTGCTGCTGCTGTCGCTGCTATCGATGTTGCTGCTGCTGCTGCTGCTTCTGTCGCGTGTTCGTTCTTTGATTTGCTGCAGCAGGTGCTGCAGCAGCAGCAGCTGCTGCTGCTGCATGCCCCCCTCTAAATCCCCTAAGGCATCAAGAGATGCTCCTATTGTTGATGGCAACTCGGGGGGACCAACCCCTTCCTCTTGTGCAAAACCCTCTGCCATCCTGAGGGTTTAGGGTTTAGGGTTTAGGGTTTATGGGTTTAGGGTTTAGGGTTAGGAGAGGGTAAGACGTAAGGATTAGGGTTTAGGGTTTAGGGTATAGTTGAGCAGCTTCAGGAGAAGGTATAGGGTTTAGAGTTTAGGGTTTAGAGTCTAGTTAAGGTCTAATTAGGATTTAGTTAGGGTTCAGTTAGGGTTTAGGGTTTAGGGTTTAGCGATTAGAGTGTGCCCTGTGTCCTAAGGGGCCTCTCCCATGGAGCTGCGGATACACCTCAGTCCTCTGGGGTTTGTTTAAACAACAAAAAGAAGGAAAGAAATAAAAAGAAGAAAAGAAATAAAAGAAAATAAGCAATAAACCCTCTTGTCTCGGGTGTACAGACACCTCAGCAGCAAGGCATTCTTTCCTTGTTTCTTTCCTTCTCTCTATGACGCGCCGGTGCTCTCTGCATGCAATTGGGGGCTTTTTCGGGGCTTTTCTGTTTAAATTAAATAAATTTAATTAAATAT